CGAAAGTATTTTAAAAAGTCTACTGTCACTTATGTATAGGCTTCTGCGTGATGGCAAAGGGAAGATGGACAGGAGATTGACGGACAGACGGCTGCTTCATCTACATATTATAGTGGACGAAGATGTTTGAGTGAGGAGGGACAGCAGAACCAGCTCAGCTCTTTTACTGGTTAGTGCAGCTCCCATCTGCTCCAGTCTCCACACACAAGACAAGCTTCCAGATCAAAAAGATGCAGCCCATACATGTCCGTGCTTATGAGAAGGTGATCACTTTTTACTCTTTAAAATGCGTGCATATTTTACAGATTCAGTGTGATGTAAATGTTAAATTGATTTCTGGTTCTTAGTGCAGAGCTTTGTATTCTCAGGGGAGTTTGTTGCTAACACTGCTCAGCGTGATATGAAGCTCTGAATGTTGTGAAAAGCGGTGACGTAAATGAGATCCTCGTAATGTGTGAAGTGTGACCGGACTGACCTTTTTTTTTAACAGTAACAGAAATATTTTTTTTCAGAAAATGAATGGGAGAGAGCTACTCTTTTATAGAAGAACAAATAATACAAGAAGAAGAAGAAGCAGAGGAAGAAGAAGAAGAAGAAGGTCCTTTATTTGTCCCACAGTGGGGAAATTTCAGTTTATTGAATGCACATACACATATACACATCAAGCATGCTCTTTAAAGATGAAGTGGGTTAAGTGTCTTGCCCAAGGACACAACAACAGCAGACATCCGTGGAGTCGGTGGAGATTAACCCACAACCTTCAGGCTCTAAGGCCAATGCTCTACCAACTGAGCCACTGTCGCCCCAAATGGTGAGACATAGCCTGTGAGGGGGTACTGTTACAAATGATGATATAAAAGCCTATATAATCATTTATTACCATTCATTAGTCCACTATATGATCAAATGCATTTATACTTACATGAATTGTAATGTCTTATATAAGGAGCAGATTTTATGTAATTTCTAAAGCTTTGCTACAGGTTGGAGACCATGTGTGGTGTTCTGAGCAATACCAACAACTGAAAGGCATTTGATTAAACAGAAAAAGGTAGATGTGTTTGTGGACTACGAGGCTAACTTTTCATATTTCATTCCATCCCATACTGTTTGTATATCCCCATGCACTTGGAGAGACTTACATACACTATATGTACACTAGGAAAAGGACCTGTCCAGAAAGGGAGGATTCTTGGTGTCTCTGCTTCATTATAAACAAGGAAAGTGGCACCTTGCTTTGGAAACATCTTGTTTGGGTTCATAAAATATTACCCCCAACTTTATTGACTCTAAAGTCCTCACTGAATGTCATCTGGACCCAAACCACCACAGCAATGCCATGTCCTTTTGACTCCTGAGCTTGCACACAACCCAACAAGAACCCGCGGCGATTGGAAAGAATAACCTTGTATAGCAATAGCCAAACTGAGAAAACATACCACCACCACCACCATCATCATCATCATCATCATCTTCATCTACACTGGAACATGTGACTCACCAAAGCGCAGACGCTCCAGCCACGAACGTGATGTGCCGCGTTCCAATGGCGGGCCCGATTCCCTGCTTCAACAGCGCAACAGAAAACGGGCGCGCATGCAGGGTCGGGCCGGCACATGAGAGACGCTTTGAAAAATAAGCCCTCATTTGGGGAGAGTGGATTCAGATGGCTTGGCTGCAGCTCAAAGCCGCGCAGCTCTTCGGGTCAGCCTGATTTTTTTTCAGGATGCTAGGCGCTGATGTGTTCAAGTGTGTGGTGTACTTCAATCAAAGGACCTGGCAACTCGGCATCAAGGGTCAAAACTTTGCAGTGTCATCCATACCACGCTCAAGGATTGTACGGTTTTCTCTCGGACTGTCAAACCTTGGGTCCGGCCTTGAAACAGCCGGCTTAATTGAAGTCGCCTGTATAGCGAGGGAATCCCAGGCCTGACCGAGTATAGCAAAGAAAACCATTTTTGAGAAAGAGAGAGAAAAAGAGAGAGAGTGAAAAATGTTTGGAGCCAAGTTTGGAGGTAAAGAGAAAAGACAGATGTTTAATTTTCTTCAGCGAGAAAGAAAGTGTGCAGGGTGCTAAGTGTGGATTAGCTGTGTTTGTTGGATGTGGTATATTTTTGACTTCCTCAAATTTAGAAAGGCAGTAATTAACATAAGCAGACTCCCCTCCACCAAACAAAAACAAACAATGCAGTCATGAGTCACTGAGTATGGACCTAATCTGCTGTTGTTTTGTCTTCATCTGAAAATTGGAACTTGTGTGCTTCCCCGTTCAAGTTCAACGTAATTTTTAAATCTATTTTGTTTGCTCACTACCGACTTGAATGTTGACAGTTCTATTCTCACTCATGTTGTGTCTATATGGTTATTTGCCATTAAAAGTGTTTTTTTTTTTCCGGCAAACTCAGGATTCTATACATTGCATAACATAATTCCCTTGAATGGTGGTTAGATTGAGAAGATCCTTTTTTTCGTCCCACAGTTTGGAAATGTGTTGCATCACCGGGAGCAGAACAGTAGGAATGAGGACCATGCAACACAAGATAAATAAACAATAAATATATTTAAATAAAACACAATAACAACTAAATTAAACATGCAAGTATAACCTAGCTTTAGCATAATGAGGAGCAAATCTAAAATCTTCAACTTTAGCATAATGCAAGAAGTAAGTATAACAATTCTATATTTAGCCTAATAAAGAAGCAAGACATAAGTATGAATTGTCTATATTTAGTACAATAAATAAGCAAGAAGTAAGTATACAAATCTATATTTAGCATAATAAAGAAGCTAGAAGTATGTATGAAATCTCTATATTTTGCATAATAAAGAAGCAAGTATGAAATCTCTTTAATTGCCCTGACATAGAAGTAAGTATGAAATATCCATTTAGCATCATGAAGAAGTAAGTAGGAAATCTCTATATTTAGCTTCATAAAGAAACAGTGCAAGAATTATATAGTATCCAAGCGGTTGTCGATCCGCACTGTTGGCTCCATTGATCTCCACAAATTACACTATATTCCCGCAAGATGATGCAACTATATGTACGCAACATATAGTTTGAACTCGATACATGCTTCCGCCTATGCAACACTTTAGTGCTCCCTGGATCTCCCATCCAAGTTCAAACCAGGCCCAACCTTGCTTAATAACCTCAGAGATGAAACAGGATACTGCAATAACATCCACGGTCCTCACTGATCCTTGTATTTTTCCAGTAAACACCTAATCAAGGCAGTAATGTATGCGTCTCTGTGACCGCTCTATAAATAACTAGGAGATGATGTTTTTTAATTAAGACACAACTGACCAGGCCAGACGCATTCAGCGCACTCGCTCGTACCAAATGAGAAAATACTCGTGGGGATAATAGCGTCAACAGTTAGCACAACAGCGTAGCTACATCATCAGAAAATGGGCTATCATGTGCGCTTGACCACCCCGGGCCTCTTTGCCTGGTCAAACTCAGCCTAGCGAGAAGGTTAACTGGACAATATGAGTTGTTATTTTTGCATTGGCATCTGTTTCATGGCTTACATTAGCAGTTATGGAGAGCTGTGGTATTAGTCATGGGCCCGGAGTTGTGTAATTCAGACTTAGAAAGCGTTGACTCCACGGCATGGTCTGTTTCCTCACACCGCCAGCCCCTGATAGGGTAATGTGGGGTGTAATGACGGCCAATTACAAGGGATCACCAAACAGGACACAAACACTGGAGATGCAGCGGACAATTGCATACTTGTGTTGTGTTCTTGGGAATATTTAACAACAGAGAGTACGCATATTGTATAAAACGTGTGGTATAACCATGTTTTTGATTATGTTGCCATTATGCCATGATTCGGTATTCATTTGAAAAGCAGGGGTTCTCTGTGAAATTTGGAGTACCTTTTTTGTTTTCATAATTACACATTATGTTTGTCCCAACTTAAAGAGCCGTGTTAACTGACCACAACATGTCTTTATCTTATTAGAAAGCATATTATCTGGTACATACGTAGGGCCTGCATGAGAAAACTAGTGATTGAGCTTTGAGAATAAGTAACACATTATAGTAAAGTTCATGGACTTTTATAGAAGTTTTGGAAATAAAGAAAAATGAATTTACCGGATTTTATTATATAGTTATTTTTTGTGGTTTCAAAGTTCCTTGAGTTAACTGAAAGGAGAAATATTGAAATCTATGTCCATCACAAACACTCAAGGATGTAAGTTTAACCTGTATAGTTTTATCACAGCTTTAGAAGAGCTTCTTCAGACAGAAGCACAAACAACCTCCTTGAAAGAGCCAAACAGTGACATGGCTGTGACTCACTGAAGGAAGCATTTGTCCAAAAGTTTCTGACCTAATTTTTTTTTACATATACTCTTTGTTGAGGGAAAGATAATTTTCTAAGAAATTAGGTCTGACATTCATTGCACATACTTTAGAAAGAGTTTAAGTGGAGTAAACTTTATGAAAGAAAACTGAGTCTTTGTAATTTTACGAAACGTCTCTTACCTGACAAGGTCAGAGCAATGTTTACAAAAACGCACCACCTGAATATTCTTGTGTCTGAAAAAAGAGAGAGATAGATGTTTGCCTTTACTCAGCATCAGGGCTAACTGTAGCCTTTGCGCTCACTAACAATATAAAGGTGCAATCTGTTCTGTTTGAAGGTCAGCCACTTGCTTATTTTCATAAATTACTGCCATGTGTTTTTCTTTCTATTTTGCTGTCCTGTATTGATAATTTGTTTGTGTGTTTCTGTTTGACATTGATCAATATTTATGTAGACTTTTTAAAATATATATATATCTATACAATATACAATATGTCAAAAGACTGAAAGAAAACCTTTTAACTCTAAGACAAAATCAACCTTTTTGGATCAAAACAACAACAAGAAGAACTTACATTAAAATTTCTCCAAACATGTGTGCCCAACTATGAGCCCAGTCCTCACCTGGCTCTACAGTACACCTTTGTCCTCTCCTGGACTGGCCAGTCTCAGAGCATGGACCACCCAGAGCCGCTCTGTGGAAGGGGCATGATCCGGAGCAAAGCTGTGAGAGCCAATGAGGTATGTGGCGAGCACAGATAACCTCCAGCACTGCAGCAGTAATTGGCCCTGATGAATTGAGCAGCCGGAGAGATTTACATGGTGCAAATTGAATAACAGTTGTTTTCCTTTAGTAGATGTGGTAGATAATGGTAGCACACAGTGACCCAAGCACGCACAGCTCTGCTCTGTTCTGTGTACAGGGCACGGGTACTTTCCAGCTCATACAGGTTTCTGGCAAACCTCTATATCAGACAAAAAGTGGGAACACAAAAATAACTTGTTTGCTCTTTGTTACTTTCCAAAAGCAGTTTGTATAAGTCATGTTCCAAGCCAAAACATACACATAAGGAAAACACTGAACTATGGTCTGGAGAATTGGGCTTGTTCACACTAAAGGACACAAAAGTGTGACAAAAGGCCAAAAATTAGATTTTTAATCATCCGAAGATATTTCGTGTTTTTCATGTATCCAAAAACCTCCTCTCTCCATTAGAAGTTGCTAAAACATAACTGTTTTATAGTTTCCTATAGCGGCCCTGTTTATTTTATGTAACAGACGTGATGATTTGACGGAATGAGCTATGCAGAAGTTTGTTACGTATTTTCAGATGTCCACATTTGATTAAGAGATTCTATTTTTTTACATGGAGTAGAAATGAAGTGATACTTTCATATAGTCAACCAGTTAAATGTGAAACCAGACCAGATTATTTTTTCTTCTCAAGTTTAATTGTTAGAGAAAAATGAACGAAAACCCACACATTTTTCAAGGGTTATTTAATTATTATTTTTTTACGATTACTTTTTATATCAAGTGATTTACTTATGTTGTGTTAACCATGTAAATCTTGTGGTATTTCATCTGCCGCTTTTTCAGACTGAGGACATTTGATTTTCTGTGTAACTGGCGTCACAGTAAGAGGCTGATTTTGTCATTTAAAATGTGGCAAAAAATATATTTGTCAATCTTTTCTTTTGGTTTTATCCACACTATCTCTTCAATCTGTCTAATGTTTGAAATATTTTTTTCCAATCTACGATAGTAATTTTAGCTTTTGAGTTATAACCTCCAGATACTCCAGATACTTTAACTGACACTTTACTGTGAACACACTCGTCTACAAGTCAAATAGAAAGTAAGTAATGTAAATAAATAGTAAGTAATGTTTATTTATAAAGCGCACTTTTACAGACCCCAAACGCTTTACAATGTTCAAAGTTCAGACACTTTTTTATTTTTTCTCCACACAGGGTGATGAGCGAGACGCCGAACACACTGGAGCATCAAAGCCCCTCAACACTATCCATTCACTCACTCATTTACATTCAGACCTATTGTGCACCCGGAGGACACCTACACAGACACAGGGAGAACATGCAAACTCCACTCAGAAAGGCCCTCTTCCGACCAGGATTCAAACCCAAGACCTAAGTGAGAGTGCTATCCACTGTATATAAGTATAATAAGGTTTTCAGAAATGCCTTCGATCAAGTAAAATCCAGTAAAATACTCTCAGAAGCTAAGCAAGCAAAGGCCTGGTTGGTTTTTTGGGGATGGAGAGTTGATGGTGAGTGTTGGAAAAATACTCAATATCAATTTCAATAGCACTTTTAATTTAGCTTGATAACAATTATCAAGAAATGCTCAAACATAAGTGTTCTTGTTTGTGGCATTGTTATTTTTACTTTGTCAATCAAATCAATACAACCTATACAGTTCTTTTTGCTGTTTTTGTTTTATTTGTGTACGATTTTTGTTTTGAGGGCGACAGTAGCTCAGTTGGTAGAGCATTGGCCTTTGGGCCTGAAGGTTGTGGGTTTGAGCCCACCGTAAGACCTACTTCACGACTCCCACTGATGACTGCTGTCGTTGTGTCCTTGGGCAAGACACTTAACCCTACTTTGCCCAAAGCCCCAACTGAAAGATCTCAGCTCCTGTGGACTCAGCACCTGCAGGAGGATCAGTGAGGGGCTGGTGCTCTGTGGACTGGGTGCAGCTCTGACTGCTGCCCCCCCGACCCAGAAATGGATTAAGGGGAAGAAAATGGATGGATGGATGGATTTTTGTTTTGTAAAACTCTTTGGACTGCTTTATCTATGAACTGTGCCATACCAATACACTTGCCTTGCCTAATCCCTCAATTAAGCTTTTATTTCTCCATTTAGATAGATAGACAGGTAGATAGATACTTTATTGATCCCCGTAGGAGAAATTCAGGTGTACAGCAGCAGAAGACTCATCCAGGTTTGTTGTACAGTCTGACAGCCGAAGGAAAAGAGGATCTTTTGTAACTTTCTGTTTGGCAGCACGGTGATAAAAGTGATAATTTGCACACTCTCTTTGCTTATATAATTCTCATGATAATCAATCCGCATTAACATCACAGCGTCTGACCACACATCCCCAGCATGCTAATTTGTGATATTTATGAGCAAAATTATCTCGAAAAACATGTGAAAAAAATATGCCTTCTCCTTTCTTCGCACTTATAAAAAAAAGTTTGTTAACAGGCTAGGCCACAACACAGAGCTCCTGCCCTGAGAACTGTCTCCACTTCGTCAACACTCCATCTGCTCTCTGGGCTCCTCTGGCGTCACAAAGCTCTATTGCCTTATTTGTAGCCCCAAGATTAACTCATTCAAATTCAACGCACATCATTGCAAGCCATAAACAGAAACACATGACAAAGTTACAGCTTGGATTTAGCCGTTACTGCCTCAAAATCTGACTCGAATTTGTTGGAACAAGAGATGGGAGATAGACCAAAGCCTCAGATGTTTTAACAGGCACTTTTACCGTGTGTTAAATAGCCTGCCTTCATATACAGCAGTGGCGGTGTTGAGGGACCTCTGGCTATAACATGTGGGCAACTGGATCCGGCTTGGAAAATGTGTAAAATGAGATGAGAGAAGCGTGTGACGACATTAGGGTAGATTAGACTGCGATCACACGTGGATCACAAAGCATGTCTGCAGGAGTCAGACTGATTCACAGCTCGAGTGAACGGATGCTGTTAAATAACACATCATGCCTTGTATCGTGGCTGCTACGTTTATGTGAGAATGTATATACAGTAGTTTCAATTTAGGAAAACTTTATCTTGTCACTGCAGCAGTGGTTCAAGCAGGTCTCCCCATTTTACGACGTCCCTTATAAGACAAAATCTGACTTTCAGAGTTTTTTTCTTGTGTGGTTTGAAGTCATGACACAGAACATGACAGAAGTCATGCCATTTGAAATATCTCAGGAATCAATATTACACTCAGCATGAGCACTGACTTAAAATGGTATTGTGAGGTATGTGAGAACAGCTCACTTGTCTTCTGCTGTTAACTGTTTTCTTACGTTGGCACTGAAAGATGAGTCGCATGTGACTTCTTCCTTCTCACTACAGTAACTTATTTCCCTTGACCAAATCACGGCAAACATTGTCCCATAATGGGTGTTCTTATGTGGAACAAGGGGGGAGGAGGTATAAACAATTTGGATTTGGCCCATGAACAGTGTCAGTTTCACGCAAATGGAACTTTGCAGTTTTACAAAGTGAATGTTTCTACAACAGCTGCTGTCATCCACAGCTCTTTTATTCAGACATAAATGTACTGTGAGTGAACTTAAGGACACAGAGCTGAACTTCGAGACACTTTTTCCACATCACGATGACGTGAGGGGAGCATCATGTAGCACACGCTGGACAGACACCTGTAGTGCACAAGACATTGCATACGCGTTGTTACAGATCAATTTGGGAACAATCCACTTGGGAACAGCTGGTTGTGACTTTAAAACTTGCATTTTGTGTTAAAAACATTGACTCCTTGGTGCTCCTTGCTACAATGCCTTATTCCCTTGACCTTGATGAAGCAAAACACTTCATTGCAGCGATCTTAGAGACGATAAATGAAATCAGGCATGTTCTTACATATAAGAGCAGTAGGGGGCAGTGTGACATTTGACGTCTACACCTGGAGGAGTACTTCAACGTTCTCTCACAGGTTGTTGATGAAAAACATTGTGGATTGTCATTAAAGAAAACTAAAGAATAAATCTCACCACTGTCAGAAGGCTCTGTTAAGTGTTTCTTCTTGTCTGTCTTCTTGGAATTCCATTCTGGATGACTACACTCAATTAATTATAATCACCATCCATTCACTCACTCGTAACATCCATACCTAATTTACAAGTTTTTAGGTTTAGGGGAGCGCCCGGAGGAAACCTATGCAGACATGAAGAGAATAACTCCACTCAGAAAGGCAAGGGGTGGAATCAAACCCAGGACCTTCTTACTGGGTTACATTAAATGAAACAACGTTTGTAGTTTTGAGTGGTGATGTCTACTGTAAACTGTGTTGGGCCCTTTTGAGTCATTTGTCACGAGTTAAACTTTTCGATATTACAGACGTTGCTTTTGTGACAGAACCTGTTGTAGATGGATATCCTTAGTTAATGGTGGTTTGAAAGTTGGATCACCACAGCTTTGACATTTCTTCACTGAACAAGATCAACCTTGAAGTCAACCTCTGAAGTTTGTCTGTATTGAACCTTCCAATGCATTACATTTTATTTATTGCACAGTTAATATTATAAAACACAGCGTTAATCCATGCGTCCCTTCTCACCCCTTGTCGTGAGGAGGTCCGCTGTCAGGATGTTACCTGGTGAAGTGGTACATTCTCCACATGTGCAAAGCTCATGGTCAATTCCTCTGATTGAGCCGCGTCAATTAGCTCCATACACAAGTTTCCATCGACTCTGCCCCTGCACACACAGCTGATGCTCTGCTGACACCCTCTGGTTTCAACTCCAGTGACCCGCAGCCCAAAGGAAGACCCAGGCGCGGAGCTATGTGCGGTCAGCTCCACAAAGAGGACGAGGGAGGAAACTTGCTTTTAATAAACAAGATAATAGATGCCATACAGCCCGCTCGCACCACCACCACGGCCTCTGCAGAGATGGATGGCTAATGCTGCTCTCGCTTCCATAAAATGCACACTCATTGTGGAAGAATGGGGCTGAATGAGAGTGTGAGAAAAAAAAGAGCAGCGCGAGGATCTTCAAACCAACAATTAAGTGGCGTCAGGATGTTTATGGGCTCTGTTTGAGCCGGAGCGGACCGGTCATAACTGGGCCTGATGGTGGCCTGCTTTAGGACGAGGCTAAAGACTAATTTTTTGTTTTGTTTTTTAATGACCATGGTTATGTATTAGAGTAGCTAAGTTTGTTGGTGTGGACCAGAGGGGTGTCAAACTCATTTTGGTCAGGGGCCAAAAACAAAAATAGGAGCTTCAGGAGAATAGAAGAGATTTCCTTTACTTTTTTATTAAAAAAATTAAGTTATGACGGTTGTTTGACAAAACAAAATGTGTTTAATATTTAGATTTAACTAGAACTGGACCAAATATAAAGTTAAACACATTGTATTATATTTAGCCACTTAACCTCTAATTAAGTGTTGTTAATAATTGTTGTTTGCGGGTGTCAATCAGAGCTGCCACCCAATATTCACAGCATTTATCATGACAGACAGAGGCCAGAGATCCAGGAACAACAAAATCTGGTTACCCCAGCTGGACACGACCCAAACAATTCTAGTACTATCGACTGTTTGTTTCTTATAAAATCCCAACCAAACATAACAATGAAATGTAATATATGTAACTCAGATCTGTGGGCCAAAATCGACCCACAACAGCATTTTTAGTGGCACCTGAAAAGATATTCAATTGTCATTATCACAGAAACTTGCAGCATTGATGGTGATGCGCAACTATGGCATGTTATTTCATTTTAAAGCCATTTATCTCAGGAAAACAACCATATCATTGTATCTGTTCTAAAATGTTAACTGAAACGTAAGTAAAAGTTATGGGTATTTAATTATTTTTGTTATATTTAACTATCAGTTTTCAAATACATGTCTCCTTGATATTTGGCCCAGTTGTTGTTGAATCCAAACCTACTTGAAAATCATATCCAAATACGAACATGTTGAAGACAGTTCATTTGTTGAAAAATGAAATTATGTTTATCAAAGAAAATCACTTTTTTCTAATACTTCTGGCCCCAACCAGCGCTTATGTATTTGAATTTGGCCTAGACCCTGATGTAACTAGTTCTTGGCTCTAAGACAGTTTGGGTCTATCACTCGCTTTCACCCATAGAAATGGGTTGCCATGTTTTCAGTCTGGCTCCACACCTGAAGTCTTGACTAAGCAGAAATACACCACAAATCCCCTTTCCATGAGTCAAAAATGGCTTTAGAGCCTGGTTCAAAACACAGCTCTGGGAAAGTTCCAATGCAGTGGGGAGTGAATTCCATCGAACCATCGTCCATTTAGCCATTGTGTATGTTTAAAGTCTGTCTATTTGCCAAAATGTTGACGATTAGTTTCAGCGCAGATCCTTGCACGATTTGCACTACTTGGCGCATTCAGCCCGGAAGCTGGAGGAAAACTGAAACACAACTGGAAAGTCCAAAACTTTAGGAGACTAGTCCATGCTCCGTCCGCCATAAACAGTCGGGATTTTCACATAAATGTCTTATTGGCCTCTGTCACATCTGTACATACACTTTTTCAGATGGAAAAGTTAAAAAGAGAGGATCACCCTTCCTCAGCCATTTCTCACAAGTATGGAATATATTCAATGAACAATTTATCACAACATATTACAGTACTCTTTATGTTGAGGCAAACAGCATGTATTATTTATGAACAAAGTTGGGAACCCCAGCTTTAACTCTAATGTTTACAACTGGACTTCAGATGTGTGTCTACCAAATCTACGCAAACGAGACGGATTTGACATTGACAGTCTGCAATAACATTTTAAAAAATATTAAAACAACATTTTGACAATCTGCATGACTTTGGCGTTGTTTTCCCCACCCCCGTCACCACCGTACACACACATGCATTCTGCTGAAACTGTTTCGTATTTGGGGCCCTTGTGGTGAGATGGCTCAGCTCCTTTGGGCCTCAGACAGACAGTTGTGGTTACACACGCTCCCTGGCACACTTCACACAGATCAGCATATGTGTGTGTGGGTGTGTGTGTGTGTGTGTGTACGATATCCCAAAGATAATGGATCCAAAGTGCATCAAGCCCAAAAGTCACACAACACTGGCCTGATTCAAATTAGCAAAGAATTTCTTCATCGCCATAAAGAAGGGAGTGGAGACCAACGCAATCCCAAAACATTTTCAACAATACAACAGTTTAATTTTCTGATTTATTACTGAACAGGCTATGACCCTTACAGAGAATGCCTTTGTAGTCATCTTCAAACTTTGATTTGATTCTAAATTGCTACCAAATCTACTGCTCTCTGTCATGAAACTTCATGAGTTGTAAAATGCACAAATTTGACAACATTCTCAAAACAGACACCTTCAAAGGATTATTAGTTTGAAACACAAACTCAGGCGAAACAAAATAATGACCTTGTTATTTCTGTACAAAATGGGCGTGTGTTTTAAGCGTAGCTCTTGTTTCTCTGTTTAATAATGTAACTCTGAATTAGTGCGATACTTTATCCTAATTTGTCATTTTCGGGCTATTGGCATGACTCTTTTGACCCCTGAGTGGACCCATGGATGTGCAGGCTGCCATACATGAAACTAATGGAAAAAACGAGAGGGCATTTAAATTAAGAATATATTGACAAAAAATGAATAGATTATTTTATATTTGGCAAAAAATCTGTCTTTTTTGTTGGCCTTGTTATATTTCCTTTTTTTTACGAATGGGTTGTGTGTCTGCAGTGTGTCTTTATGTTTTATCCCTTGTTTTTTTGTAGCGGTAAATGCAAGATATTGAGTATAGATTTTGTTCCTGAAGTACTTTTGGCTGAATCTTAAGCAACACATTAATTATGTTTTTAACTCATATGTACTCTTTTTATAGGTTTATTTTATCTAGTCTTTTAGATGTGTCTCTTCTTGTTTTGCAATTTGTCGCAGCTCAGTCTTTGTTTAGCACATGGGTGTATGAAATGTGGAAAATAAATACATTTCCGAAGTTTTAAAAGGCTGATGATGGAATGGAAGATAGCTGAAGTTATTTAATTATTTATTATTAAGGGAACACATGTTTTGGTTTTTGTTTAACTTCATCTCCAGCTCGTCCGAACACTGACATAACTCACACACACCAGATTCCAGAGAAAAGTGTCTTGTCTGATGACACAATCCTGTTATTTTCAAATGACCATTCAACCATTAAAACGCTCTCACATTTAAAGAAGGTATGACAACCAATGATACAACACTGACTCTCATCAGCAAAATAGGTACAAAGGTTTCATTCTGTCTAAAATTATTTTAACCTTGGCTTGGAGCTGGCGTACCTACTTTTTGTTCCATGATTAATTATATTTATATATTATATAATAATTAGGTTTAAAGGAACCTTATGTAATAAGGGCAACAGTACAGTAGCTCAGTTGGTAGAGCATTGGCCTTTGGGCCTGAAGGTCGTGGGTTCAAGCCCACCATAAGACCTACTTCACGACTCCCACTGATGACTACTGTCGTTGTGTCCTTGGGCAAGACACTTAACCCTACTTTGCCTGAAGCTCCCACTGAAAGATCTCAACTCCTGTGGAATCACCACCTGCAGGAGGATCAGTGAGGGGCTGGTGCTAAGTGTACTGTGGGTGCAGCTCTGACTGCATCCCCCCGACCCAGAAATGGATTAAGGGGAAGAAAATGGATGGATGGATGGAACCTTATGTAATATGCACAATCAGCGGTCTGTTAAAGTCAGTACAATTACGATCCAATTTTTGTGGCCAAAATCTTGGCAAGGCTAGGCAAGGCAAGGCAAGGTAAGTTTATTTGTATAGCACAATTCATACACAAGGCAACTCAAAGTGCTGAACAAAATAAGATAGAAACAATCACACAGAGATAAAATCATAAATAATCACAGTACATTACAAAAAGATACAAATATAAAATCCCTCAGTTGTATGCACAGCTAAACAGAACTGTTTTGAACAGGGCGGCACGGTGGCTGAGTGCATAGCACTCTCGCCTCTCAGCAAGAAGGTCCTGGGTTCGAATCCCGGTCGGACAAGGGCCTTTCTGAGTGGAGTTTGCCTGTTCTCCCCGTGTCTGCGTAGGTTTCCTCTGGGTACTCCGGTTTCCCCTACCACTAAAAATATGTCCAATAGTTCTAGCATGCGCATCCTGTACTGGCGACCCTGCTCCCATCTCTGTGTGGAGCGAGAGACAAATGCCCAAAATTAACAATTGCAAACTGCTTTGAGACTCAGATCTGCAGTGAAAAGGTGGCATATAAATAAAAGATTACTTACTTAACCTGGATTTACACATTGTCAGAGAAGAGGCCTGTTTCACATACTCACAAAGATGTTCCAGATTTTACAACATGAAGCAGAAGCTCCTGGGTTTCATCTAGAAACAGAAAAAACCCTGTGTATTAAAATATGACTACTGATATGTGTAACCACTTTCATTTAAATATGTGTGGTGCTATTTGACTGTTTAGAAATTTGAAAAAAAAAATCTACATTTCACCTCACAAACCGGCAACCCTGAGCCTCATTCTGCTCTCTGATTGGATGATCTGTCTGAATCATGACCAGTGTATTTTTAATTAAGAATAACTTTAAACATTTCTTCAGGTTTGCACAGGTTGACCTATAATCTGGGAACACATACAAATATAAGCAGTTTAAAATTGAAATATTGCATACCGCCCCTTTCACTTGTAATGTGGTTATACAGTCGTAATGCACAAACACTGCAATCCTTTTTTTCGCTCTCCTCACATTCACTGCACACTAATGCCCTACAAATCCTGTTCTCTCAGTCCTCAAGATTCACCCCATTCTTTTATTCATATGGGAACATTTGCCATTGCTGCGTTTCACATTTTTAAAAATATCTTTTTTTGGGACAATGCTCATGTCACAGCTCATGATTCCAACATTTCTCTG